ACTGAAAAGTAACTGATAAATCAACATCTGTGGATTTGGGTTTTGTGGAGGGGCTTTGGAGCACTGCTCTCAGTATAGTGGGGGATGTTTGCATATATTACACATAATATGTGTGCACATATTACATATATGTAAATGTGTACAGAAAAGCTTTTGCATGTTTGCAGGTATGCATACATATGTTTGTGTATGAATATATAAACACAGGGCATAAAGTTACTGTCTCTGAAGTTCCTGGTTTCTGTTTGTTTTAGCTTTTCCCCACCTAGTACTCCCTAATTTCAAAACACACGAGCGCCTTAGAATTAACCCATCACATACCAATTATGTGCCTACAATCCTCTCTCCTTAGTACAAACAACTGTCCACCTACACAAAATGTTCCCTTGCCGAGGTGAGCCTGTGAATGCCATGGGTGCCTGACACTTGGGCTCTCTGGGTTCACGAGTTGTGTCCCTCTGTAAGGCAATCACAACATCTCAAAAATACCAGGAGCGAAATGGGTTTTGAGACACAAAGACAGAGGAGCACATTCCCGTTGGCTCACCGCTGTGTGGCTGTTTTTCCACCACGGGAATGAGCATGTGGGCCAATGACCACTTCCCATAAGCATGTGCAAAACAAACCTTTGTAAACGTAGGTACCAGGCAATGGTGATCAGGTAGCTCACTGCACAGCGACAGAGGCATCAGAATGAAATGTATTTGCACTCACTTTCCCACTTGAAAATGAGAAGAGCCAACAAGCCTGTTAGAGGGGTTAGCCGAGCATCTCCTATAATCCTGCATGAACATACCAGGATTGGTTCTGTGCCTGTTTTACATATTTAGAAACTATTGTTGCAGGTTTCTACAGGAATCCAGGCATTCTCCTTCCAAGGTCCTCAGCTAGGACTCATATGGCCTCAGGGAGCAAGCATTTACTCCTAAATGGCACCCCCAGCACGGAGATCTCTTTTTATAGTAATAACAGCAGCAACAAGGGGGACCCTACGTCTACCTCTAAACCAGCTTCATATCTCCAGATGTATGCAGAACAGCTGTTGCTCCAGGACATGGCAGTTTCTATCATGACAGCTTAGGATGGGCACAGGGGAGGGGAAGGGGTGGGGGCGGGTGGGGGAAGGGTGGAGTGCATGCAAAGGCAACTAATAAATATTCATTTGAGTATCGAAGTTAATTACAGTGGCAATACTACCAGTTATTAGAAAGAGCTCTTAGAAGCTTGCAATTACATCCTGAGGGGGATAAGAACTGTTGTCTCCTGCACTTCCGTGAGCAAACTGAGGCACAGAAAGGGTCTGTAACCTTCCTGAGAATCTCACAAGGACCACGTTCCGCACCCTAGGAAGTGAGCCAGGCAGTCTGTGATCAGAACCCTCTGCCGTGACAGTCTCTAGATGTTAAGTGGGAAGGATGAAAGGAACTTGATGTTGTTGCTGTGCACCCACCCAGTTCTTCCAATTCTTCCCATCAGCTCGTAGCAGTTAAGGCAATACTAAGTTCTCTACCAGATTTTATAGGGACAGCTGAGCTGTGTGTGGGGCACCGTGTCAAACAGAAGGACAAACATGGTGGGAAAGCCTAGGTCTGCAGGCAGGAACGGGTAACCCACAGGCTGATAAAAAGCCTTTCATCAGGAAGCAGGTCATTGTTCTCACAATCTCTCAATCATCCTCACGGTCCTCAAATCAGAGGCCAGGAAGCAAACTAAAAGAGGAACGCAGGCCGTGATCCTGACAGAAAGGAAGAGGATGCTATGAAGGGTCTAAATACAACTTTCTTTATTGGCCATTGTTGCCTCCGTTTGTCTCAGGCTCTCCAAAATGGGAACCAGAAAAGAAACTGGATTGAGCTCCAACTCTGATAAGGAGGAAAGGGATGCTGTAAAGATTCTAAATATAAATTGTCTCCACCGAAGACATGCCGTGGGCTGACGTACGCACTCTCCAGATTTCCTGTGTAAAGCCCTAACTTCTCACCCTTTACCACAGAATACCACTGCGTTTAGAGATAAGGCCTTGGAAGTAAAAGGTGGCTGACTGAAGTCCTTGCGAGAAGAATTGAGAGGCATGGGAAAGAGCCCAGGCAGCAAAGTGCAGAATGGGGGTCTGAGTTCGAGCCCCAGAATTCACACTAGAAAAACAAACAAAAAACCCAACAACACAGTGGGCCTGCCCTTGTAACCCCAGCCCTGCCCTGAGGAGGCAGAGGTAGGGAAAGGCAGGGCTGTAGGCCTCCACAGCCAGCTAGCATAGCCAGTTTGGTGAATTCCAGCCCAGTGAGGTGGGCTGGGAAGACAGGCCAGTCAGCAGAGTGCTGCCTTGCAAGTATGATGGATGAACTGAGTCTTGTCTTCACGTCCCATAGTTTAAAAGCTGGGCACCATGGCATGTCCTTGCAATCCTGGCACTGGAGAGGTTGGAGATGGGTGAAAACCTGTGGATTGCTGGCCAGGCAACCCAGCCTAGTCTATGAGTCCAGGAAAATGAAAGATACCATATCCCAAACCCAAGGTGGGCAGCTCCTGGTGGAGGGAGTCCTAAGGCCATCCTCTGGCCTCTACTGTGCACACACGTACTTAAATACATTTACTCACACACGCAAAATAAATCGAAAAACTTTAAATACAACTGAGTTGGAGTAATAACAAGCGAGGTTGTCCTATGGCCTCCACATGCAAACATGCACATACTTGAACACACACCATATACCCATGTGACACACAAAGAATGTAGGACAGACATACATGGGGGAACATCACATGAAGACCCAGAGTAAAGACAGCCACCTGCAAGCCAAAGACTCCTTGATCTTAGACCTTAGAACTGTGACCAATTTTCTCTCCTTCAAGTTGCCCTGTGGTACCTGTTACAGCAGCCTCAACTGACTAATAAAGTCCTGAGTCATCAATTTTGGTTGAGAAGCAGATCTTACACACAATGAAGAAAAACAAAGAGATTCTGCTCACATATAGAATCCTAAACTTTTGTCCAAATAAAATCCACGAAACTTCTGCTTCGAGTTTTCTAACATGCTGGAGACTGAACTGTCTTTTCTCTCAACATGAGGTTGACTGAACACAAACTGTTGATGCAAGCCTTTTCATCAGAGTCTAAGTCATTGCTGATCTGCCAAAACAGCAGCTGATCCAGCCATTTCCAAATCCACTTCATGGCAGCTTTCCACTCACTGGCCTTCGTTAATGATCACTGGGTCACACATAAACAATGTCACATAAATATTGTCGGCCCACATCAGATGCCGCCTCTCCACAGAAGAATCCAGACAGGAATTTTGGTGTGAGCCTCCATCTTAAACAGAGTAAATCTCAGCGAAGCACAGACCTCATTCTGCAAGGTCAGGGGTTCATTCTCCAAGGCAGTTCTCTGTACTATTGAGTTCTCACAGACTCCACGGGGGGCTGATGACTAGTGTAAGCCTCTCTGGGAATTCCACGTGGAAGGACCCACCTACCTCTCTGGCGGGGACTAAACGCAGGGTGACACAAACTTGTCACAGACAAATGCACCCACGTTAATAGTATATTTGATAAATCGTATCACTTGGTTGATCCCTCGAGGAAGCAACGAGCTTGCACTCTGTACGCTTTAACTTACAGATAATTAACTACCAGATGATGAAATTCCGAAGCACCATTTGAATTCACATTTCCTACTTGAGAAAGGAGAAGCAGTTGCTTCATAGAAGGCTCATCCATCACCCCAGAACCTGGCAAAGCCATGAGGAGAAGCCTCCAAGCAAGGACACAGCAGGTTGGGGAACTTAGATGCTTGCTTGGGGAGGCACCCTGGCAAAGTGGATTCCAGAAAAATCCCTCAGAAATAATTACTGTAAAGTAGGGTTGGTCTTTACACTGCAGTCCTCTCACTGAAGACCAGCCTATACAGTTAGGAACAAAATTCAGAACGAGGAGAGAATTTCGGATTTCTTTTCCTTTCACTTTGGCCCTGATACGAACACGTGAGGTAAACGGGTCAAAGTCCAGTGACTCCCGCCCTTCCTTTCTGCCTGCCTTCTCTTTTTATGGGGGTGGGGGTGGAGGAAGGGCGGCTGCCTGGGGCGATAAACTCAGACCAAGCAGGCTTCTTACCCTACAACTCTTAGAAACATCTCAGGGCCTCAAGGAACATTCACTTTTGATCCGTGCTGAGATATGTAAACGTGCTAGACTGTGGCCAGCAAGAGAGCTCAGAGATAGGAGCCCAACAAGAGCCAGCTTTCGTCAGTGATTTGAAGATGGGAAAGGAATTTTAAAGATGTCTGTTGGAGGCAGACCTGTTTCCCATCCGCGGGAAAGGCTATTCCAGTGAGCCTAGCAGGAAGCTGCCCAGTCCCCTGGTGCCACTGTCCCACCAGAGGGTGACTGATAGTGTATGTTATTGCAAAACAAAAATGTTGAACCACTTTACTGGAGAAGATAAAACTGGAAAGTAGAGTGTTCTTCATCCCTAGTCTCAAGTGTATTTCTCCGTATTCCACTACATGTTCTGGAACCTTCTTGTCACCAAATGTTCTTTGTGGAGCTCTTCCCTATTGTCTTTGTCTCCCTAAGATAGGGTGGGCGCTATGGCTGTGACGTGGGTGTGACATGCAGCGACAGGCCAGTCTCCGACCCATCAATACAGCAGCCCTCCTATTCCCCTGCCGCCGCTGGACCTGCCCAGGTTCCACCTACGGAAGTCTTCACCTTTGAAATGAGACTAGGTTTTTCTTTGGTAATGAAGCTTCTAATTTGCTCCTGTCAAAACAGAGTGACAATATATAATATCCCCTGTGGTTGGTATACTTATATTGATATACCAATAAACTTAGGTAAGAGAACAGAACAGCCACTATATTAAACATAGGCTTAGGCAGTGGTAGCACACGCCTTTAGTCCTAGGATTCAGGAGACAGAAATCCATCTGGATCTCTCTGAGTTCAAAGCCACACTGGAAACAGCCAGGCATGGTGACACATGCCTTTAATCCCAGGAAGTGATGGCAGGAAGCAGAAAGGTATATAAGGCATGAGGACCAGGAACTAGAGCCTTTCTTAAGCTTTTAGCTTTTAGCAGCAGTTCAGCTGAGATCCATTAGGATGAGGATTCAGAGACTTTCAGTCTAAGGAAACAGAAGCAGCTGAGGAATTGGCAAGGTGAGGTGGCTGTGGCTTGTTCTGTTTCTCTGATCATTCAGCGTTCACCCCAGTACCTGGCTCTGGGTTTGTTTTTATTAATAAGACCTTTTAAGATTCGTGCTACAATCCCCTTCAATGTTTCAGGGGGAAAAAGCAAAGTTGGAGGCTGTGGCTTACAGGGGAGGCTTTCTGGGAAGTGATATTTCCTCCTAGCCCACAGATGAGGGACACGGGTGCCTCTGAAGCTTTACCTGTGATTGGGACTGAGTGTTCTGAAGATAATAGCCTATTCCTTAGAAGAAAGGCACTCGGAGCTCCAGGGCCACACATCCTCTCTTCCAGAGGAGGAATGGACTGCTTTTCCATGAGAAAGAAGGGGGAGGCCTGGGCAGTAAGGTACCCTACAAAGATTCACAGGACATTGAGACGGGGGCACACCAGAACCACTCTATGCTTCAGCCTCATTTGAAAAGCACTGATTATGTATCTGCCGTGTCAGAAGGACCGGAGCTGGTACTGCAAACGCAGCAGTGGCAGCAAGGTTCTGCTGTCTGTAGACGAGGCTGCCTGAGTCACGAGAAGGATGAGAGGGGCTGGGAGGGTATTTGGATGTAGCCGGGGAGTTGGAGCTGATTTGCAGAGGTGGTCAGAGAAGTTCCAAAAGTGAGAGTGAACAGAGAAAACAGGTGTCTAGACAGCAAGGCAAAGAGTCAAAGTGACCGGGTGCAGACAGAAACAGCTCCCAGGGCCACAGCATGGAATATAGCCATTGCAAGCATGCGAGGTGGCCTGGGCATAGAGAGTCAGAGGGAGACTGGAAAGGCGATGTGGACCACTCAGAGGTCACGGTAGCCCATGAGAATCATAAACCAGGGCAGGACAGGGCCAGCAGTGATGGAAGATCATGGAATTGAACTCTAACACATGGGGACCATAAGAGAGGGTGGTAAAGACTTTGGAAAAGATCAAAAGAGCAGGGCAGAGACACGGGCAAGAGGTCCTAAAGACTTTCCTGAATAGTCAAAATGTGAATGGAAAAGAAAAGCCAGAGGGCGGGGCGGCAAGTCTTCCCACCTCTGGACTGCCCCTCTTCCCTGTAAGAGAAGGGGGTTTGCTCCCACTCTGCCCTCCAGTCTCAGCACCGAGAATCCAGGCTGAAAACTCAAGCTTTGCACATATCCCCCACAGTCTGCACATTGACTTGGTGCTGGCCTAGCAGACGCAGCAGTCACGAAAGGCTTAGGGCCTCATATTCCTCCACACCTCTCCTCAAAAGAAAACACCATGAAAGCCGTGAGAGCACAGGGCCCCCCTCACTACGCCTCACAAACCCTACTGAGGGCTCTGCCTGGAAGAGCTGGGAAACTCTCTCCTGAACCAACTCCATGAAACACTACCCTGCAAGTTACCCATTTACCACTGCTAAGAGCCGTAATGGGAGGTTTTCCTTCCTTTGGTCACTGACTGAATCATTAAGAGCTTTTGCACGGGAGAGATCAGAGAGTCCCTTTTTGTGCAAGCAAGATCTCACTCTGGATATGAATTCTTCATCCGAAGCCTACGTGAAGACTCCTCTTTCGTTCTCAAGACATCTCACTTCACTGTGCATCTGAAAGTTGTCGGACACTGAGCTGATAAATCAGTACATTTAAAGCTCACCAAAAACAACATGTAAATATGAAGAATACGTAGGAAATATTTTGGTTATGTAAAAAGAAGCCTGGTGGGAATATAAAACAGTGAGCCACTGTGAAAAAATAGTACGTGTTCCTTATATATATAAAAAAAAAATCAAACAACAGAATTACCATATGGTTCAACATTTCCAATAATGGTATGTGCCCAGAAGAGAGTGGATGCATTTGAAAAGTTATTTATTCACCAGTGTTTATCGCTGCATTATTCATAATAGCCAGAGGTTGGAAACGACCCAAATATCCATCCATGGATGACTGATTAGGCAAAATTTGGGAAATACATACAATAGAAAGCTATCTGGTCTTAAAAAGCAATGAAATGTTGATACAGTCTGCAATATGGGCAATCCTAGAGGTCATTACACTAGGAGAAATAACCCAGACACAAAATTACAAAAATAGCATTATTCTACTTATAGGATGCCTGGAGTAGTCAGATTCATGGAAAGAACTGTCATCAGGGCTGGAAAGATGAGGGAGAGATGCTCTTGTTGAGGACCAGCATTGAGCTCCCAGCTTGCACATCAGTTGGCTGGCACCCACCCATGACTCCAGCCCCAGGGGATCCCCATACCTCTGGCCTCCATGGGCATATGTCTGCTTCACACACACATACAAATACATAAAAATAATTTTTTTTAAAAGAAAAAGAAAGAATAGTTGTTGCCATGGCCAAGATTTGGAAGAGAAAAGTAGAGTTGGTGTTGGATAAATGGGGAAAATAAAAAGGATCTGAGGCCGGGGGATGGCTGCACTGGACAAACGGCATACACTACAGGCCTCTGAACTCTATACTTGAAATGTCTAAAGTGGTAAACTTTATATTCTGTATAATTTATAAGAACAAACAAACTTTGGTTAAAAAAAGAAAAAATATATAAGGAGATGGAAGTGAGTGAGGAATCAGACGCAGTTTTCCATTGAAGACTGTGAAGTGTGCACGGAGATGAACAGGATGTGGTATTTCCAGGCAGGGGCCAAGTCTAGAGACCTCAGTAAACCATCGAGCTGGAGGTCAAAAGCATGGTGCAGAGGATGCTTGAAATGGTGCCCTTTCTGTCACACTGTTTCCATCAGGTTCTTAGTAGGCTCCAGCATGTAAAGACACTTTACAAGAGCCAAACCCAGCACCCACAGCGGCTAGGGGCTCCCAGTGGCCCCACAGATGTTCTGTGTAGAAAGCCCCGTGGGTCAACAGAATGCTTGCTTACTCCTAGGTGCTGTATCCTGAACAACAGCTAAGCAGCGTGGGAACCCATCAAAGGTTAGAACCGAGCTGTGGTGACCCCTAAAAGCCTGCTGATCCAATGGAGCCGTTCCCGATGGCCACTGGGCTGCACATCATCAGAGGAAGAACAAAGGTGTCTCTGATCCCGAGATAATGAAGAGTGGAGAAAGCAGAAGTTAAATCTGAGGACAGACAGTTCTGGTTACCTCAATACCGCAGGTGAGAAACATCAGGCCGGTTGAAAATACACTAGGTCAGTCACTTTACAGTTTACTTTTAAAAGGTCAATTACAAAAATCCAAATGTGACCCAAGCACTATGGTGCTGAGGCTTTATGGAAATTCTTTATAACTCTGTTCAATTTTTCTATAAATCTAACACCTTAAGAGACTTAATTTTTTTAAAAAGTGGAACTATTAGGAACATGCTCTAGTAATTATCAATCCTAAGAAGGCTGCAGTCGGCAGTTAAAGCTGGAAAGTGATCCTACAGCCTCTCTGGCTTTCCCAGGACGTCTTGGTTTGTACAGCTGTGGCATCTAGCTAATTATTTGCAGTTCTAAAACTTGATCCCAGGGATCCCCAGGCATCATTTCCATACCTTAGCAAGGCTGAGATGAAGGCCAGAGGGGGAGGCACCTTTCTCTAAGTACAGTCATGTGCACTGGGGACACACTCTGAGAAATGTGTCACTAGGGGATTTTGTGACCAGAGTGTGCTTACAGACCCTGCATGGCGCTGCCCACTACACACTCGTCCCTATGGTTTAGCCGATCGATCCTGGACTTTTCTTCTGTCAACATGCTCCTGTGCTGAACAGTGCAGGGAACAGTGACATGAAGCATTTATGAATCCAAACATAACCAGACATAGAAAGGAAAGAGTACAATAAGGAACATGGAGCACTGGGTGGGAGTTCAGGTCCATTACGATCTGGTGGAAACACTTTCACATATGAGTACCATGCCTGGACAGACAGCATTGTCGCTGTACGGCATTCTGTATGTAAAGATTTCAAAGGGGCCCCAGCACTAAGGAAATGCACTCCCATCAACAGCCTGCCAAGTCACTAGTGAGTCTGTCCCTATTATCATCATTTCATCAGAGCTAAGGTTTACAGTTCCATCACCTGGCTCGCTCTATCTACCAAAAGATAGTGTGTTATTAGTGATTAGAGTTCTTTAAATTTCCTTCAACCTAGGGAATTCTAAAACTCAATTTAATGCTTCTCATGAGACAGCCTTAATCCTGAGGAGGAGATCCCACAGCCCGCTGCATTATTCGCAGCATACAATGAATGTGATTTTCGGGTTCCAAGCCTCAGGATGAGAAAGCACTTATGCAGATGCACGGTGAGACTATGAGGCGTCTGATGTCCCACCCCACCCCACCCTCTCCTCCCCCAGTGCTGTAATTCTCATCTGATAACCTCTCAAAACAATGACACGGGAGTCAGCTGTGTTCTCTATCATTAGAAAGACAGCCGGAAATCCAGGCACCGATCCTCAAACACTGCAAAACATCACTGCCAGGTTACAAAGCAATTTGACAGCCCTGATGGAGATTAATGATCAAAACATAATTAATACATGGGAAGATAATTAAAAAGACCAAACACTGTATTCAGCCCGGTGCTCCTAGATCTATGTCCAATATAATGACAAGATAAAAGTGCGTTATTGATTAGTTAATTCTCGGAAATTCAAAAGGAAAGGGAAGGAGGGGGAAGAAGAGAAGGGGAGGGGAGAGGCAGGGGCCTTTTAATCATGATGCTAAGGAGTTGTGAGACTCTCAGTCACCATGGACATATAAATCAAATAATATATTTGAAAAAAAAACAAACAAACTAATGAAGATTGCATTTGAGGGGCCAGAATGTAGCACAGTGGTAGAGCACTGGCCTAGCATGCACAAGGCCCTGAGTTCCAATCCTGAAGTCCCTGAAGACCCCACAATGAGAAAAAGAATCAACACCACAGCCATGGAAATATTAAAGTATGATTTATAGTGGACTCAAACAAGAAACAACATTTTAAGTGTCCAATTGTAGTAACACATGAAATAAAGCATTATGTATCTATATAATAACGTATTGTTCAGTCTTTAAACACTGTTATAGGAATTTAGCTGATGGCCCTAAAGACAAAACCAATACTGCCCGGCTTTGGCACAGCCAACAACGACCATGTGATGAGAGACAGTCTGTAAGTACTGGGCAATAGGCTGGTAAGAGACCTGGACTTCTGGGAGAAGAGTTACAATTCTGTGTTCTGTGCTGCAGCCCCCTTCTGGGCTATGATTTATTAATTTGTCCTACAGTTAAACATACTCATATCTTTGGTCAATTCCATTCCTTGAAAAAACAAAGACATACACCCAGAAAAGACTTTTTACAAGAATGTTCACAGAAGCTCTTACACAATGGACAAAAGCTGAAAACCACCCTGCCAAGGAATGGATAAACAAATGTCAGTGCACTCATAAAGTGAAAAACTGCTCGGAAAGAGAGGAGCAAACCACAGCAGGACTCTCAGAGAAAGAAGCCAGATGTGGGGTGTGATCGCCTTGGTAGGAAGTTATATATCATTGCGTGGACTCATTGAAAAGTTAGAGCAGTGGTTTCTCTGGCTGGAGAGAGGATGAAAATGATAGGCAACAGCCTGGGAAGGGCATGGGGAACATGTTCTCTGAGATGACAAGAATGGTCCACAGCTGATTAGTGCATGGCTTAAACCCACCCAACCGTACACTCACGATCTGTGTGACTGACTGTCTGCAATTGACAGTGAGCCCTCCTCATTTGGGCACAGCACTCTGGTGAGCTCACAGCAGTGCTGGTAATTTGTGTCTATTGCTGGAACCCCTACCATGTCATGGTCTGCAGTGACTCCAGCACATACTACTGAACATCACGTGACAGCACCCCCTCATGTGCCACTGTCAGACTTGGATGGCAGCATCTAACCTGACCACATGCAGATTCTTCCTTATCAGGTTCCCTGAAAAAAACAGTATAGCAAATGCTTACACAGCATTCACTCTGATGAGTGAGATATTCCATGTCAGCTAGTGATGATTCCAAGTAAGCACAGGGATATGATTAATATATATGTAATATGCCTATAACATAAAGGACCTGGGTTTGGGGTTGGTATCCTGATACTAGGAGAGAGTCCAGTCCTGACATCAATATCTCATGGAGAACAAGAGAGTTTGCATAGCTGTATAAGCAGAAAAGCGGGAGAAAACCTTTAGGACCAAATGTGCTATCTCGACTCCACACTTTCTCAACTTCACTTTCTCTGCTGCAGGTCTTTCCGGTGCTTCTGTCCCCTGCACATCCTCCCCCATTTCCTCTTCCGTCCTTCAGTGAGTCCTTCTGTGAGATGCCTCCCCTGAGCCCCTTCCTGTGTATTCTCTATACATCGGCAGCACCTCGGAGCAGAAGCTGAGTGCTGACCATCCACTTCCGACACTAGAGCACAACCTCTGGAGGGACCAGGTCTTCTCCAAACTGATGACCAAAGAGACGTTGCTATGTTGGTTAGTACTGATAAGGAACTTGCTTTTTCTGCACTGAGAGGTTTGCTTGGATATGGTAATTGTCTTGTGCATCAGCAAATCCTGAGACTCCAGGACCCAGTGAATAGCAACTCCACGATATATTTAATTACTAAATATGTACAGTGAGCCCACAGATGACAAGTGGGGCAGAAGGTAAACTCTGGTTGTTAAAATTGCAGGTGATTAGAAAAAAAAATTCCTTTTTCGTCATCTTTCACGTTTGTGGGATGTGTGCATGTGTGTGTGCATATTTTTGCATATGTGTGGATACATGTTTACGTAGTGCCTGTGAATGTGGAGGTCTGGGGTTGAAGTCAGGACTCATCCTCAATCACCCGTCCACCTTATTTGGTAGAACAAGGTCTCTCAGTCCAACCCAGAGCTCACTGATGTGGCTACTCTTGTTAACCAGCTCACTCTGGGAATCCCTAGTCTCTGCTTCACCAGGTTGGAATTACAAGCAAGTTGCCACGCCCACCTGAAATTCACATGGGTTTCTGGGGAACTGCTGAGCCATCTCCCCAGGCCTCCAAAAACTCCTGTTTTATAATTTGTTATATTTGTTCAAGTTCCTGTTATATCCTGTATTGCTTCTACATCAGAATGATGCATTTCTGGGTAAAGAAATGAGCCACTGGAAACATAAAAACCTCCTGGCAGCTGGGTTTATTAGTTTACACTTTTAATCCCAGCGTCAGGGAGGCAGGGGCAGGCAGATCTCTATGAGTTTAAGGCCAGCCTAGTCTGTTTATCAAGGTCCATCCTACCCAGGCAGAACTACACAGTGAAACACTGTATCAAAACGGGGTGGGGGAGCTAGAATGGATTCCACACTGTAAAATATGTCTCAACTAGTTCTTCAGAAATTACAATTTATCTTTTTGCTTAGCCCTTTGTGTCCACAAACGCACAAGCAGCTTGATTTTTGACACCACACAGTTGGGAATGGGAAAAGCCTACTGTGAGAGACTCTTGCCAAACCACCCTCCTTCATTTCCCAGAATACCAATCGGGTCCCAGCCAGAAAAGCGGAGACAGACAAGATGTCCAAGGCTGCGGAGAACCCAAGAAGAAGAAGAACAGCAGTGTTTGCCGAACTCGCCCCAGCAACAGGGTGGTCGTCCCTGGCTGCCACACCGTAGCTGTCAACTCTGATTTCTTACACACCATTGGGTCACCGTGGATGAAAAATCGGATGAGATGTCAGGACAACAGCTGACGAAAAGATACACTGTGGAGACTACAGGAGAGTGACCCTGTGGGAGCCGCAGGGACAGTGTGGGTGACTTCTAAACCACCACGAAGAGCTATGGATTTCTTCTCTTTACATCTGAGCTGGGGAGGTCAGCACAGACGCTGAAGCGCATCACACTGCCCTAACAGCAGCAGTGTGTGGTGACACACGCTTCTGTGACCACACTAGCAGAAGGGGAACTGCCTGGCTGCAGAACTGTTTCCCTCTTAATGTAGAACTTTTTTTTTTTTTTTTTAATGTACCAAGAAAAGACCCATTTGTTATCAGGTCACAATTTACACATAAGGTCTACGAATCTTTCCGGGTGTCTTAGGAAGGCAGCTTGCCCGACCTTGTCAGTGTCCTTATCAAATGGGTTTTGTGTGTGTGTGTGTGTGTGTGTGTGTGTGTGTGTGTGTGTATCAATAGCATCCACCACCCAATTCTTGTCAATTTTATCAGAGATTTGAAGGGACAAAACACAATGGACATCTAAACTAATGAGGCTCTACAATTCCCCCCCTCCCAAGCCAGCAACTCTTGTCTCAGGGCTCACACACAACAAAGGCTCCTCTGTGATCCTGTTCCCACAACGAAACACCACTTCCTAATTCAACCTACACACACAAAAAAAGAAGCGGCTCCAGAAGGCAGCCCCTCCAATGGTGCCATAGGGAACATTTCCTTTCTCACAAAACAGATTTTATCTTAAAAGGGATTCTTTTTTTTTTTTTTTTTAACTCACAAATCAGACCCTCCTGGTAAAAACATTTGAGCAGGCTTTAAAAATTCTGTTAAAGGAAACACAAAACACCAACTCGATTTGTTTTTTCCTTTGTCCCACACTCTGGGATAAAGAGCACCCAACTCTACCAGCACTGTCAAAGCTGTGGAAAAAGTGTTGACCACCGAGGACGGGCAGGGATGGGGACCGGGCTTCACTGAAGCTGGACAGAAGAAGCAGACAGAGGCTAGAATCTCAGCACCTCACAGTCAGATATAAACAAACCTGTAAGGACCCCTTGACAGCCACACTTTCCTTAACGTTTTAACTTGAAAGGCAGCGGTGACTGGGACCAGGGGAGGGAGCATGGAGAGTGTGGAAGGAACTAAGGTTTGGGGGCATGGGGAGCTACAGGCCCCTGGGCAAGCCAGTGACCTGACATTTTCCTTCCTAAAATGGAGAGCATCTCTGCATTGCAGGACCGTTAGGACAACAGATGGAAGAAGAGAGCTGAGGAAGGAAAAGGCCGATCCATCGCCAACTGACACCTATACGTCTCTGTATATTTGTCAGTAAACATTCCTTTTAAAGTGATCCTCAGAACACACCAGGAACTTGTAATTTAAACCTCAAAATATGGCTTCTATTCACTGCATTATTTCTGTAGCAGGGGGTGAGACTGGACTCTTTAATTGGAAGCTCAAGTTATTATCCATAACAGAAACAACCCAAGGCCCAGGCCTGGGAACGATTATGCTAAGGATGGGTAGCCCTTATAGAAGACTGCAAACATAGCTTTTGAAAGTGTTAATCAGTGAGTTGCAGTCATATTGGGAAACGTTCGAGTCAAGATGTAAAATAAAACACTGGGACAGGACTGTTTACATCAGAGACTCTCAGCTGAAGGGAGAGTGGGGTCTGAGAATGCCATGTGTTGGCCCAGGCTCATGAATGGCCAGACTCCCATCCTTGCGCTAGCTGTGCGAACACTCTATTCTCAGTTTAGTCGTCGTGATGGGGGCGGTAACTGACAGGGACTGGAGCATGATTATGAGACTCCAATGACACAACCCAGAGCAGAGGACTACACAGCACAGTCCTGGCACAGAAAGTTCTAGTAAATGCTAACACCTTGGGGCGGGGGTTATTAAATGCATAGAGCTACAAGCAAAAACAAAAACAAAAAGCAAAAAAAAAAAAAAGAATAAAGCTGGCACAGTTTTGCAGTATTATCAGTGGTTCTCTCAGAGTCAAGGGATGGTGAGCATCTCCCTCCTCACAGTAACCCGAACCTCCTGACTATTTTACAATGATCCCATTCCATTTTACAAATCTGAAAAAAATTACCATTGACTTACAAGTTTGTTTTCTAAAAATCTGCATAATTGCATTTTTTTTTAGTTAATCCTATTAGCTAAGTCTAATTAGGTCACATTAAGGTCTTGTTTAACATTTCCCCTGGTGGTGTCTGAAGATCAGAGAAAAAAAAGATAGTGATGGGGTGGGGATGTGAGGGGAGAGATGGCTCAGTCTAGAAAGTGCCTGCCACACAAGCCTGAGGACCTGAGCTGGGATCTGGATCACAGCAGCACACACACAAGTGAGCCAGGCACGGTGGTACACATCTGTGACCACAGTACAAGGCGGGCAGAGACGGTGGATCCCATGGCTCACTGGCTGGCTAGCCTAGCCAATTGGAGGGTACCAGGTTCTGGGAGTGACTTTGTCTCAACAGGGTGAAGTGAAGAACATTTAAAAAAAAACTAGACATTGACCTCTGGTGTCCATGTGCATGAGCACACACACATGACTGTGAAGCAGCACATGTCTATACACAGAGACAAGGGATAGAGAAAGAAACAAACTGAGGTCTACTGGCTGTGAGGAAGTAGTTGGGCACACTACACCACTCATAATGCTACCATACGCTACTCTGTGAGAAGATTGCCTTGGGGTGCCTCTCTCTATGCCTCTCTGCTACACCCCACCAACAAAAATCAATAGCAAGTTAATATACCCATGTTAAACAGAGCTGTTTCCCAAGTTCCTCAGTCCTGCCCGAGGCATTCTCTCAGCTGAGATCCAAGGGCACCGAGTCCTAGGATGTATTGGAAGTCAGTCTGTGATTCGGCTAGAACTCCACAGTTTGCATTTCTTTCCAACATATTTGGGATCGGGCTGACCACCATAGCAGAATGCTGTGCCAGGGAGTCTGTAGCTGCTTCTCTGTGCTGGTACCACAGCAATCGATCACCTGCTGGGATATCTGTGTCTACCTATCTGCTAAAGGACCAAAAGTCTCCCCTGAATTCTGTTTCTTGAGGCTGAGACTAGAGTTCTGCAAACCACCAGGTATCTCTTCAGGAGGCTGCAGGGCTGAGGCTGGAACCCTGAGGAGGGAGGTTATGACTGTTCTTGTCTCCCGGCTTTTCCTGTTAGTGTCACCCCTTACAGGTATCCCCGACTCCAGTTGCAACTATCTAGTAGTTCCCAGAGGAGCCTCCTACTCGCCCATGAAGTCAGGAGAAGGGATGCTGTCCCTTGCTCCAAGGGTCCAGATGCTAATAATTCCAACCCTCCCTTGGTTCCTCTGTTGCCATCACAGTCTGAGAGACTCTCTGCCCCCTTTTCCAGTTTCCCGACATGGTCTACCAATTCCTGACACTGACTATGCCCCTCTCCATGCCCAACTCACATGGTTTCCATTCTCCTGGCTGATGCGATGCACCATGCCTTCCATAGAGTGTTAAAATGTTTGCTTGTGATAAAAATATAGGTAACATCAAAATTACCATCTTAGCCACGTAAGTTGTATGATTCAGCGGCATGATTCATGGCCCATCTAAATAGCATCCTTATCATCATTCCATGTGTCCATCAAATACTAACTCCCCCCCTTTTTTTTTTCAATCTCAGTGCCCACAACCAGCACTCTACTTTCTACCTCCAAACTATACAATATTTCTTCTTTGTGTGTGGCTTCCCATGGTGTTTTCAAGATACACACATGTTACAGTACGCGTCAAGTTTCCATTTGCTTTCCAGGCTGAAGAACATGTGTGTACTGAAGTTTGTCTACCCAGTCATCAACAGAGGAGCATCTGAGTGGCTTCCACCCTTTGGCTCTGTGAGTCAGTTGAGTCATTCTGTTCTTTGGGTTCTACACCTCGAAGGAGAACAGCCAGACAGAATCTTATGATTCTGTATTTACAATTCTAAGGAACCACTGTTTTGTTTTCCTCAGTGGCTGCATCATTCCGTGCCAGTCAGAAATGCACAGATGTCCCTCCTCCTCTGCACCCTGGCCACCCTTGAGACTTTCTATTTCTCTTATGACAGTTATCCTAACGGCTGTGGTCTCTTGCTGTGATGTGGGTTTTCAATTCTCTAATGTGAAATTCTCATCTTTAACGCAGTATTTTTCAAATCAGAAAGCCTTCTGTTCTGCTGAGAGATGTCAGCATAGGCAATGCACTCCAATATAGTAAGTAGGACCTAAAATCGTTTCGATAACTATAAAATTCAAGACTTAAAGAAAATGTGGATTCCCCCTCAGAATGACTTATTTTCAGTTTAAACATACCCAAGATGGCCAGTGGCAGTCAGGGTGCTAATGCCAAGGTGTGTGTCTACACCACTGGACAGTGAGCAGAATTCAGGCATGCACACCACCGTGTAAACTTCGGTCCTACTCTGCTTGTGCGCCACCAGATCAAGGCACATTTCTTTTTCCTAAAAGTGAAGCTCCTACATACATCGGGTCCCCTCGGGTTTTATAAATGGTGGCTCTAACAGCGTAACAGCAGAGCTTTCCAAATACCAGTGGAAGAAACAGCAGGAGTTACCCATGCAGAGCAGCCAAGAACTAACCACAGACACCACATCCAACCTCTCCACCTAGCCCGGTCCTGCCTGTCCTTCTGAGGGTCAAGCCAGTCAGCCTGATCCTCCCCAGACAATCAGATCTGGCCCCTGTCCCACATCAGTGCTCCAGTCTGGTCTAGCCACCCCTGCCTGCACAGTAAACCCCTAGGTTTCTGTCAGGGCTTGCCTTGCCGGCCCCTCACCCACCCACAGACCCTTTCCACACCACAAGGAGCCTCTTCACCCAGCCAGATAGATCTACCGCCCCGCCCCCCCCCACACACACACATTGCAGGCTTGGACTAGGACCAAATGGGCCAGGAAGTGGTGCCATGGAGTACTGTGTATCATCTACCTCACACCTGGCAGAAACAGTGAGATTCAAACAAATGTGTTAAGAAATGAGGCAGACATTAGACGGCTACGGAGCCCCTCTAACGGGCCTGGCCCCACCCCACCTACCTGCCGCAAGTCCAGGGTGATGGTGACCCAGTGATACTCTCTCCCGTTCTGAATACTGGGGCTCTGCCACCAATTATTGGTGCCATCGATCGCGTGTGATATTGGGTGGCGTTCTGTTAAAAAAAACAAACAAACAAAAAAAAACACAGAAACAAGAACATATGTCATTTTCAGCTCTGGATTTTCATTCTTGAACTGCCAAACTCAGCGCAAAGGCAGAGCTAGTGGCCAAGGGGAGCGGCTTTTGAGGATTTTCAGTGGAAAGTCTTCGCTACTTCAGAAAGTGTAAGTTCCCATGGGTGGGCCCATGGTGGAGCTCAGAGACGGAACACATGCTAAGCTTATGCAAAGCCCTGGGTCCAATGCCAGGACCCACAAAAATAAGTTGCATAAAGTATCTCCCTGGGTGCTTTTCTACAAATAGAAAAAGCTGTACTTGCCTCTGGGATTCGTACTGTTACCATCACAGACCCGGCACTGGGCATGTCGAACAGGTCGGCCCGGCACGTGCTCCACGAGTTTGCAGAACATCTCAGGCCCCTTCTCACCACAGGTTGCATTGGTGCTGATGTGGGCATTGGTGGCCAGGTTGAGAATGGCAGGGAACAAGCCTGAAAGGACAAAGTTCAAAAGCCAAATCAGCCAAGCCACGCTGCCCAACCCACTTTACGGGCAAACCCACAAAGGGTTGTAAATCCACGTGCTGAATGAAAGAACCTTCCACCAAGACTGGGTACACCAAAGGCTTTCAAGTCTCGCTGATGTGGAACTCTGAGACAAATAGGCCTCCTCTGTGAGGAAAAACCCAGAACACTAGCTGGAAGACAGGAAGGAATTTTCTGGAGTAAATAAGTTCTATGTTTTTATCAAAGTTTGGGATTCTTAGGCACATATGATTGTGGAAAAAGAAACATAGGATGAATACACTAAGATTTGGGCATCTTACCATAGGTATATTTTATCTGAAGTAACAATTATTAATGGGTAACCTCCATGTTTAGGAGTGGGGTGTTCCTCTGCCTTCAATTCGTTTTGAAACACATAAGATGCTAGTCTGGATTGACATAGAGATGGACACTTGGAGAAGCAGTGAGCGAAGAAGGGAGTGAACAGCAGTCCAAGTTCTCAATGCACAATGCTAGTTTTCTGTTTGCTAATAAAATGTTGAAAGAGCATGTTTAAAGACAAGCTATAAATTCACACATTGCCCAGAGAAACTTGGCCACCTTCCTCATAGAAGGTGGCCTGCCGTCTGTCTCTGGTAGGAATTCAGGGTCTTCCCTGTAATTATATACAATCTTCTTTGTCCTTTCTTTTCTCCCTCATGATGGCCTGTTCTCCTGGGTGAATAAAACTTCGTAACGCACAGGTCCCAATTTTACAACTCTCTGGCACAGATAATCTCTGCTCTGTCCAGTCTCTTTATCTCTGCTGATTTTTATCTCCAAGCAGCTGGGCTCAGGGCAGGTTCAAAGTACTTGGTAGCAGTTTTTGCACAACTCAGAGACTAGGATCCCCATTAGGGATCTTCTGAGATTTAACTATATCTTGATAAAGGAGGGCAATGGCGGCAAAGATTCTATAAAGATCCAGAAATTACAATGTGCGTGCTAGGTAGGAGGGGCAAACTTGTAAACAGTTCTGAGAGGAGCTTAGCCTCCTGCAGATTGTGACTCACTAGATTTTGATCTTCAAGGACCACAGGCTATGATGTGACCTTTGTAAATAACAGAGTCAGGTCTGGGAATGTGGCTCAGTGGTAGAACACTGGTCTACTACATCCGAAGCCCTTCACACACATGCACATGCATGCACACTTTTTAATAACACAAAATTGTTTTAATTCTATAGAAGGAATTTTCATCTTTAATTTCTTTGGTCTTTGAGTACCCCCCCCCAGTATATTCAATTGTGCTTTATTGTAAATATTTAGGATTTTAAATCATAAGACACAATGGTTCTCTGGAAAGAGTCGCTGTGTCGTAAATGACAATTACTCTGCACCAGCTGGAAGAGAGACAGTTGTTGTTGCTGTTGTAATGATGGGACCCCTGGTAGGTAGGCTGGCCACACACCTGAGCAGGCTTCAATTCCAAGACTAGCTGGGCCACACACACTAGACTTGGTAGGGAAAGTAGGACTCTCAACGTCAGGTAGGAGGGTTGAGAGGCTGGTGAATATGCTCAAAATGCATTGCATGACATTCTCAAAGAATTAACTGAAAAAAATGTATTTTTAAAAACCCAGTCATTCGGAGTCTTTTCACGTAAATAGATGAGAATTATCTGGCGGTTCTACTACTACACAATGGAAGGGCTGCACTCAAGCCTGGGGGCGGCTGAAAATTGTGCATCACGTACGCATGTTTTATTTCTACTGTACACAGTAATTCTCATTCCCTGTTGTGTCGGATCACATGGTAGAAGGCAGAAGAAAGCCAGAGTTAGGGACTAGACAGAACAATTTGGATAAAAAATTGTTTGTTTTTTTTCCCCCTTTCTTTTTAATTTTTCCAAGTTCTCTCGGGCAGCTGAGTCGTTTTCATATCTGCAGAGAAACTTCACATGGTCACGTGAGCATCAGGCAGGTAGAGGGAGGGACAGGAAATCCACTCACACCTTCTGACTGAGAAGACCAGATTGTTCTGCATAGAAACAGCCAAAGTTGCAGCCTGGCACGTGCGAGCCACACACATATTCGACCCCATGCTTTTGTTGGGGCCTCTTTTCCCCCAGTTATTGCTATTGCAGAAGTAACTGAGACCTCTTTTTTCCCCACTTTGAACACACTGCAGAATAATCCACCTGCCCATGCATTTAATCAGCACCTAAAGACTTGGTTACACTGAACTCCACAGAGCATGAAATAAATGCCTCCTCATTTGCTGGCTACTCCCGCTTTCGGCCCCTTTCTCCACAGACTGAGCACACATGGCCTCATAAAATGTCCTTCAGGGCCAGGTTACTGTACTGGAAAGTTCCCTGACTATGATTAGGTTAAAAATCAACTGCCACCAACCTATGGACAAAAAAATAATAATAATGCACAGTTATCATAGCTTCGTCCCTGACACTTCTGGCTAGTTTAATAATTCATTATTAGGAGCCTTTGAGTTTCTCTCTCTACAGTAATTTTCTCATCTTAAAGTATCTTCAAATGTTAATTGAGCTCACTCCAGCACTCTCTTCCCTGATTCTTTCCAAATAATTCAGAGTGAATCCTTCAGACCCTTGAGGGAAGTGTGTGTGTGTAAGTGTATATATATATTTCTTGAGGAGAAAAGGTTTTTGAGTTCCAACCCATGTTATATTTATCTAATATATAATAAAAATCAATGTGATGGTCAGCAGAGAAAAGGGTCTGCAATTCCCACTGGAAGGAACTGAGTCAACGTATCCAGATGACTTTTTCCTAGACCTAAACAAAGATTAGGAATGCTTCCCATGGTTGAATAATCAAATGGCTTCTAGTGTCATGAGTGCTTTTCTTTTTAGAAAATAAAGAAGACTTTCCCGAAACAGTCAAAGTCACCAATTCAAATCTCAGAAAAATCTAAGACAAGTAAGAATCCAAGTTCCTCAATTAAGGTTTGTGGGGTTTTGGTAAGTATTGAAACACATTTAACCTTCATTTACCACAAATTTCTTAGTTCATTTCTTGTTTACCCAGGATGCATCTATGAATTCACTGTAGAACCCAGAGATGAGAAAGTTAGTTCCCGGCTTCACAGCACTCCTGGAACATGAATGTGACAGACTCACACTGGAGACGGTGGCCAGCGTGATAAAGATCACACTGAGGCCCAAGACCTCTGGCTCTGAAGACTTGAAAATTCTTCTGGTGACCTGAGCATTTTCTTATCTGGCTCCTTAGAGCTGGCTGGTTGTCTGTCTGTCTGTCTGTCTGTCTGTCTGTCTGTCTCTCTCTCTCTCTCTCTCTCTCTCGTCTTACTTTCTTATCTTCTTCATATCCTGACCACTCTTTCTTTTTTAAGTGTGTGTGTGTGTGTGTGTGTGTGTGTGTGTGTGTGTACGCGTGCGCGCCCACATGATCGGAGTGCAGTGCCTACAGAGGTCAGAAGAGAGACTCTGATCCCCAGGAGCTGGAGCTACAGGCTGTGGTGAGCTCTTTGTCATGGGTGCTGGGAACCCACTGTAGGTCCTATCCAAGAGAGAATGCTCTCTGAATCACTAGGCCATCTCTCCAGCACCAGTGACCAGTCTTGAACTATTATATCCAGCTGCTCTTTCCATTAGGATGGCTGCCAGGACTCTGGATACTTATCTCCATTGACACAGAATATAGGAGCAAAGTGCAGCCAGGGCACTTGCCTTGAGCTCCTAAAGAGCTTCAGAAATGAAGTGCAAGGTGCAGTTTGGATCACGCATTTTTCAAGCATCTCCTGCTAACTCTACCTGAGCAGAACCAGCAGGCGCTTTGCAGATGTGGCATTGAAGACTTTCACTGGGCAGATTCAGGCCTGTGTGCAGCTCCTACTGGTAGGTCCTCCGTCTTCCTGCTCTGCTGTTATTTCAGCTGCCAAGCAGCTGCACCGAGGCCTCCATCCTGCTTCTTGAGCAGTCAAGAGGCTTCTCTGTGTGGTGCCAGCTGGCCTGTGAGGGACCTGCGGATCTCCAGTTATGAAGCTGCTGGCCTTGGTTCTGTGCTTTCTCAGCCATCAAGCCCCTAGTCCTCCTCACTGTCCTCACTTTTTATACTATTTCTTTCTGTGTCATACCATTCCAGCCTGCGCTACTGTGAACACTCAAGGAAAGATCATCCCAGAGTTTTATTGGTCCTGATGTTGCAATATCAGGGATGGCAGCACCAGAGACTGTCTCCAAGGGGGCTGGCTTCCTGATGAGCCTGAACAGCCTGCTTATATCACCTGAAGGGCAGCTTGGGCCTATCATAGCGTTGTATTTGACAAAACACAGCCATTTGCTTTGGACCAATCAGGGTCATTCATAAAAGCTTGCGTTTGGGGCCAGCAATAATGGCATCTCCACTAGGGGGCGTGCTCCCGCTCTGGCCAGGGCATAGTAGTTCATCCAGGTTTGTAAGCATTTGTTTCTGACAGCGGGCTATGTGCATTCAAGAGCCAGGACCATCAGCAGCCATCCTTGGCACACGTGTCTAAGACATACATACGTGGCTGTCCCACCAGTCTGTGGGAACCACGGGTCTTTTGCTCAGGATGGCTCAGTAGCAAGTGGGGGTCCACTTGCTGGCAGTTAGGAAGTCTGATTGTCCCATACCCAATGGCTTTGCTAATTTACAAGAAAATGAACACCAGAAGGAGTGGGTACCATATAACATAAGAGTATGTATCATTAACAATAACAGCAATCTTAATGGATTTTAATAATGCTTACCACCTGCTCCGTGGCCAGGGTGAGGAGGGTCTCAAGGAGTGATAAGGTAAGGTTTACATTGAAATCATTTATAACAACACATCCCCAGCATGTTCTGCAGGCTATTCATAAGCTGGGCAGAATTCATTCTAATCCAGTTAGTTTTCCTCAAGAAAACAGTACAGATATGCCAGCATATGATTTTTTTTTAAAAAAAAAAGTGTGCTAAGAATCCAAGCCTCTGTTATAATGATGTG